ATATATATATAATATATATATATATATATATAATATATGTTCAACTATATATATATATATAATATATGTTCAAATATATATATATATATATATATATATATATATATATATATATATATATATATATATATATATATATATATATATATATATATATATATATATAATGTACTTGGATGCAATATGAACGCGGAAAAAGCTGATCTGTGCATAGAGATTAGTAATAACTCAGCCTGGCATCAGCAGCCGTCATAAGGCTGTTATCGCAATAACAAAGCGGCAGGCTTTTCAGCTATTAAAATATTGTTCTGATATATATTTTTTATTTCACAATAAAATGTTGCGCCATAAAATATAACTCGAACATAAAATCATTTCAAGAACTAATAAAAAAACTAAAAAGCGCATGATGTCAGGGGAAATATGACTGTCTTGTTTACGAAATGCTGTTCAGACTTGAATACACAAAGCGACTATCAATTAATGCCAATCTCTGATTTTAGCCTCAGATTTCTATTAATGACCTATTTTTTTAGCCTTTTAAATTAGTGCAAAAAATTCATACTTTTACTTTATATTGACGTGGGTTAACGTCGAAATGTCATCGGTTCAGTTTTAAACTTTTATAATATTGAATATTGGTTCTTGAATGACTTCAAGTAATTAACATTTTAATTTTGTGCAACCTTTTATTGTTAAATATACAACGAAAACACTTCTTATTCTGTTGATCTGTTCTTTACTATAAATGCGTAACATTTCTTCAAGTTTCAAATAAGAATTAACATACCAACTTTTAGATGCATTGTTTCGTGTTGTAGCTGCAACTTTAGTTTCAAGCAAGAACAAACGAGAATAAGAGTGCTTCAGAGTTGGCGGTCACGTGCGATCTCGGGTCAAAGCCATTTTCATTCGACACGACACGACTAGTCGTATTCGACTCTTATCCTGGCGTATGTAGCTACTCGAATAAATGCGTCTTAAGGCCCATCTACATGACTAGTCGTGATACGACATTAAGTTCAAGTTTCGTCATAAACTGATGAACAGTAGTGGCGTCAGAAGTCGTTTTCATATATACACCAGAATGGCAATCGTATATGACTAGTCACTTATAACGCCGTCAGCAATGGTTTTCATAGGCCAAAATGTCAATCGTATACTACTATAGTCGTATCGTGTACTTTCCCGACAATATCATGCATGCATTTTCTTTAAATTAAAACATAGTTGAACTACATTAATCGTCAAACCTTAGTTTATTTTGTTAGTCTAGAGAGCTAGAAATATCCATGTAACAATTCGTCACCGTCAACTCTCATTCTCGTTTGACCCGGGGTTCGTTCTTGTGAATCCATATTTTGCAATGCTAATCAATGACGCCGTACATATTAATGTTACTCTATATATACATATAATCATTGAAAGATCACAGTATACATATGACTTTACTCGACGGAATATACAACGATCTTTAACACCAACAACTGAAAGGAGATGTTTTAGGGACCGGTCATTATTTATGGAAAGCGGGGGGGACTTTTTCTTTACCAAATTTTTAAAATTGAAAGGCCCCCTTAAAAGAGCAGAAATTTAATGATGACCCCCTGCATATTAGAATATTTTTCTTTGACCCCCCCCCATTTTCATTTTTACTTGTCAAATGGGGATGCCCAGGCGTTATAGTGTTAATCATGAAATAAGAATATGGAACTGACAAGATATTAACGTCGACCAAAAATATATATTAGCAGAAAATTAGAATTAAAAGAGGGGTATTTTCATATATAACACTAAAATCAGGTTTCCATTTGGGCTGGGCGATTGTAACCATGTTTAGCGGCAGAGTATTAGTGTTTGGAGGCAGGTGCCGTTTGTGGTCCAAGGCTGCAACTATAGACTCGATGGCACGAAGTATTGCCATAGCAGCTGCGCAGCAACAATGAGAGTAACAATCAGTAATGTTAGCAGCAAAAGGAGATAGCCATGACAATTCAGACAAGGCATACCTCTGGCACCAGTCACACTGACAAGTCAGTGGAAACGAAATACAATGTATAGTGGTCTATACATCCTATTTTATGTGAGATTAAAAATTATATAAAATAAAATGACACACTACCAGATAAAATCCTCTAGAATAAACATGGGTGGGTGGGTGGGTTGGTGGGTAGGGAAAAGGGATCTAAGCGCTAAACTTGCTGCAGTTAGGCAAAGCATGCAATGGCAGAATGAATACTCAGACCGAAGCACTGATCACAACGCGCGAAACAACCCCTTTGATCGATATGACTTCACAGACTCCCCTCAGCGGATGTGGCCTGCATAATACATCCGCCGTTAACCTTACTTAAATGTATTTAACCACATCAAGATACCTGATGTAATAATACATTGTCCAACCTCGTTCCCAGGGCTTCAGTGTGAGGACGAGGCGAGACACGAGGAAGCCCTGGTCTGGGCCGGTCAATTTTGCATTCTGATTGGCTAACACCATATTGTCTAAAAATAACTGAACTTGACAGTTGACAATAACAATCAACATTTGTATTTTTATAATTCTTGTGTGTACGAGTATGTTTTGCAAAATAATCTTTCAAAGTAAGACCTTTTCCCGACTGCATGATTTACTTTCGCCTCGGCCGGTTACAAATCTCAAAAGCCGTGTCGAAGTGAGCTGTGATGTTTCCTGTCAAAACAAGAAACGTCTACTATTATTTAAGCTGTAGTTTTCCTTGTACAGTATTTTTGTGCAGCTGTCTAATGAAATACTACGCGTATCGCTTTGTAGTAATATTTTAATTTACAATATTCTGTACTGACAAATAAAAGCATGACAAACAATTAAATGAAACTACTAAATTAATTTAGGCCCTGTTTACTTTATAATAGCTCTACGCCTAGGCCGATGTAGTCTCTACAAGATTCGCACGCCACCCAGTTTTACAG